TTTCCTTTCCTTTCCTTTCCTTTCCTTTCCTTTCCTTTCCTTTCCTTTCCTTTCCTTTCCTTTCTTGCTTTACTTTACCTTACTTCACTTTACTTTTCCCGCAGGAAGGATTCATTCAATTAATTTCAAAACTCCATTTCAGGCCCATCTAGACTTGATCTAGTTCATTTGCAACTCCCCCCCCCCCCCCCAATAAAAAACACTCTAATCACCCTTTTGCCTTTTATTCCCAAAAATTGCTAAGTCATTAAAGTCACATTAAAATTTCTTTCATTGAGGATTGAAAGGTACTGACCCAGTGAATGCCATCAAACTTGCCATTCCAAAGGTTCTTAATATTTAAAAATGTAAAAAAAAAAAAAATCTGAACATGATTAAGAAATAAGGCTTGGCTGAGTTTTATGTACATATAGGCTACATTATAGTTGTGGGCCAATTGCAAAATCCCCAGTTCTTGTGGTTTACCTTTGAGTAGCAGCTGTCTGGAGTACATGTGGGTGATCCCATGATCTTCCTTTCTCCAGAGAGATTTCACTGGCCAGGATCCATCCTCTGGCTGCCGATTTCAGCCATAATGTCATCCCCGCTCCTTTAGGGATGTCTAGCTCACCATGTTCTCACCAGAAGTCGCGCAGAATCACATTTTTTGAAGTACTTTTTGATGGTTGAGTAATGTCTCTGCTTTTCCTCTCTCATTTTCACTTTCTATATTAATATAGACATACATATAAATATTGATATATAGAAATATGTTTATCTGTCAGGCTAAAGTCTAACAATATACCTCTCCACTGTCCCCACTTTGGAGTGATTATGAGGACCAGCATGTTCCATGGATAACTCACACAGCAGACAAGGTATCTTCAGGGTAGATGCTTCGTGAGGGAGCGGATGGACTTCGGTTCTACATGCTTCAGTGTATGGGATAGTTAGTACCTCTACAGGAAGAAGTCATGAGACAGAGTTCATTAGAGAACAGAAATAATTTTGCTTCTTTTTCAGTGAGAACTTCACAAAAAGAATCATAAGTACTCCAAGATAGAAAAATAAGGAAATAATGCATGATCCAGCAATTAGCTAGCTTTGGTATCAGATACCAATTTATAAATTCTAAGCCTTATATTTCAGTATAATCCCACATCAATATATGTATTGTATTACTCACTTTAGAATGTGGATAAAAGGAAGAGATTGAGGGAAAGGTTACATTCTCTCTATGGTTACCCCTTCCTCTTTTGGGATTGATAAATTTCATGTATGAACTCATGGCATGTATGTGCTTAAGAGAGTCCACTGTAAGAAAGTTCCCTGTTATGTCTGCAGACGAAGATAACTTTGAAAAACTTTAGGAGATCTGTCCAAAGTGTTTTTCACCTTCTGAACTCTTGGCTTGAGCCAGGTTGATGCCTCCAGGGCTTCCATATGTATTTGTGGTGTTTCATGCCTAAATTAAGCTTTTGCTCATTAACAGTTTGTTATAGAGTTTTTTGTTTTTGTTTTTTTTTAAAAAAAAGATTTACCACAGCACTCACAGTAAGAAATACCAAGGGACATTTTATTATAATTTGCAGGATATAAATAACAATTCTACAGAGATAATGATCATAGTCTATAGTAATGTAGGTTTTAGCATTTAATAGTTCTTCAGAAGAAACAAAAGGAGGTAAGAAGTTTCAGTAAGAAAAATCTAAAGGATGAAATGTATAAAAGTATATGCATGCATGAACAAGCAAGCAACTAATTGAAAAGTAGATGGATGTAGAATGTAATTGACTTTTTTGGGTGGATCAATACATGGAAGGAAGAGGAAGAAGCAGAAGGAAGAGGAAGAACTTTACCAAAAGCTAGTGACATGAAATTTAACACAATAAATCTGTTCTAAGTTACTTGAAGACTTATTTTTGCTGTATCAGCCTTATATTATTGGTATAGAAACAGCTAAAAATAAAATGACTTTTGCTATGCTTTTCCCTACAATTCTGGATAGTAAAGAAAATTTATTTCTTTCTTTCTCTCAAGTTTATTTTGGGAGGAGGCTGGAATTAAATTATAAAGTCTTATTTCCCTTTATGGACATTTTACAGTTCATATAAATAATGAATTCAAACACATATACACACATATTTATGTAAAAGGTATCTTATATTCATACGATTTTTGACTAGATAAAGTTAAAATATATTCGTTAATAAAGTTTCACCCTATAAAAGGAATTTCTTCAAAGAGTGAAGCAAATATTTACTATTCATGGCTTCTCTAGTTATATTTGTTAAGGAGTTCAAATTAGGGCAATGTAGTCTTGCTTAAATGTAAATTTGCATTAGATCTGCAATCTTATTTATGTTATTTACGTATGTATTTATTTATCAGTGCAAGTTGCATTAGCTGCTGGATAGTGTGGTGATAATGAGTTGGCTTATAGCATCAGGGTTATATTGTGTTGTTAAGGAAAATCCATTTAATTTAATTTAATTTAATTTAATTTAATTTCATTTCATTTCATTTCATTTCATTTCATTTCATTTCTTACTTTACTTTTATTATTTTATTTTATTATTTTCTCTACTGCTGTGATCCTCAGAAGTTTACAAGAGAGGGAAAACAAAAAGAGGGGGGAGTCTTAAATAAAAACATCATTATAAAATCAACAATGCTTAAATAAATTATAAGAACAATTAAGGATGCTTATTTTAAAAAAAACACAAAATCAAAATAAATAACAGGGAAATGTATACACAGAGTGTATAGAGTAGCTACTGGAGTAGTTGTTATCTCATAAATGGCTGAACATGCACGTCTTCATATTATGAAGCTTGAATCTGATTTTTGCAATAAACCCAATATCACTGGGTAGATACCCTTCCAAAGTATTAAAGAACTTCATAGAAGGGCTTTTCCCAAGAAGCACATTTCTGTCCTTCATACTTGCTTCAGTCCCAGAGTTAGGAAAGGAGTCCTGGAGTCAGCTTAGTCAAAGTTTAGCAGTAGAAGTTACTGAACCTAGCTCACTCAGATTATTGGTCTAACTCCTTCAGTCCTACATACCACCTCTGATAGAGAAGAAACATGTAACATTAAAGTAAAAATTCATTAGGAAAATGCATAACTTCAATTCTTAATGAATGAAGGAACATTTTGGTAGAAAGACTCCTGTTTTCTACAGTATCCTGTGGAGTCAGCTACATTCAGTGTGCATGCTGATACTTCAAGTGTCAAAACAGGAGCTACTCAATAATACCTTGCATGCATTTTCTATTTGCACATGCCTTTGTACAGAGTAGATTTAAGGAGCCAATTATGAGCACTACCTTCTATTTTCTCCAGATATTATCCATGGCAAACAGAGAAAGGAAAAATCAGACTGATGTTTCTGAATTCATACTCTTGGGACTTGGAGATCTTCCCCACATGGATATTCTTTTCTTCTTATGCTTCTTGATATTCTACTTGATAACCATGGCTGGGAACCTTCTGATTGTTTTTTTGGTGATGGCCATCCAACATCTTCACAGACCCATGTACTTCTTCCTAAGCAACCTGTCTTTCCTGGAATCCTGTTATAGCTCAACTATTCTGCCCAAAATGTTGGCAGGATTCTTGACCAGAGAAAGAACTATATCTATAGAAGCCTGCTTCATACAAATTTTTTTCTTTTCTTTCTTGGGTGGGTCTGAATGCTACCTCTTGTCTGTAATGTCATATGACAGATATTTAGCTATATGCAAGCCATTGCATTATGCCACTGTCATGAAACATCACTTATGCTTACAACTGGCAGCTGGATCTTGGTTAAATGGATTCTTGGTTGGCATAAGCATAACAATCAAGACATCCCAGTTATCTTTCTGTGGTCCCAACATCATTGATCATTACTTCTGTGATATTATTCCTAACATAAAACAAATTTCATGTAGTGATACACACTCAGTGGAATTATCAGCATTTGCATTTGCCTGCATTTTTACTCTGCCTCCCTTTCTCCTGACCTTGATCTCCTACATTCTCATTCTCATTTCTATTCTCAGGATCCCATCTATCACTGGGAGACAAAAGGCCTTCTCTACCTGCTCATCTCACCTCATTGTAGTGGCCCTGTTCTATGGCACATTAATGATTGTCTATATGCTCCCACCATCCAAAGATCTCAGAAGTCTGAAGAAAATATTTTCCTTGTTTTACACTGTCTTGACTCCCATGGTCAATCCTCTGATATACAGTTTGAGAAATAAAGAGGTAAAGAAGGCATTGCAAAGAGCTACCAGGAATTTAATCATCTTCACAACTTTCTCTAAAACATAAAAATCTATGTTTAAATGTTATAATAGAAGCTGAAATGCAACCATTTTAGTGTGAATAAAGGTATTTAATGGATGTTTCTTTGATTGTTTAAAATTTTGTTGCTGTTGTTTTGTAAGAACCTGAGCAATAAGCAACATCATTATATTCCTCAGCTTCTTCCATATCCAAAATGTATTAAAATTAAAAATTAAAGCTGCCTTCATTTTCTTTTGTTCTGTCTTGCTCTATCAGAAATAGATTTGTTGTGGAAAAGTAGTCAAAAGGTAACCTCAAGATGAAAAATAGAATTAGATGTATATTAAATAGTTTTGTAGCCCATAATCTAAATCAAGAATTGCATCTGTTTTACATATTGCTGAATGCTTTACATTCACAGATATATCTGAACTCATAAAATGTATAGTTGGATGATGAAAATGAAACCTTTTCTAGGAATAATGCATGGAGGAGTAGCCACTTGTGTGTGTGTGTGTGTGTGTGTGTTTACAACTTCTTTATATCTCTATTTATGATTTTTGCATTAGGTACATAATTGAGGTTATGCTTAACTCCTTGTTTCTCAAGATACTTTTTGTAGAGGGTCTCCAAGAGAATGGGCATTGCACTGATGACTAACCACAAATTAATATTCATTCCTGCTCTAATGTCTTACTTTCAGTCCCACATAGGGCTGCCATTCCAAACAGACTATTAAAAACTTTCCACATCCAGAAGCCTTCTGATATAGCCTTCCAACTTAGCCCTATGGTCAGAAGTTGGGGTATATTCCAACCAGAGGTTTCTAGGATTACTCCCTTATTACCAGACCTATTTCTGTGTTGTCCTGCACTGTTCAATTCTTTGTTTCTATTCTACACCAAATACGATCCTGCTATGAAAGATCAAATATGGGAAGGATAGTCTACAGCTTCCACAATCCCTTGCTATTTACTGAGGCCAATAATAGTTGTAATTCAAAATCTCTGGGTTCCATTGGATTAGTGGCCTTGATTCACATTTTGTGTTACTGTCATACTGATGACATAGCTCTATATTTTTCATTAAAACTTCTAGCTATTATTTTCTCACTGTCCACTCTTGGTGGGAAATCTGAATAAAGCAAGCCAACTGAATCCTTATAAAGTGGATGTAATAGAGATTAGCAAGTCTTGAGACATGGAAGAAGCTGTCACTTTCATCAGAGATGTGTCATCTTTCTTCATTCAGCTTTACTGCTGGAATTCCAGGTTATCATGGCGGTTAGTGTAAAGTTCTGATCTCTTAGCATCCAGGCCAGATTTTAGCTGATTCCTTCCTGATTCTAGGGCAACTGTGTTTGAACTTCAAAAGGAATAGTACTTGTGGGTTGGTGAGAATGTAATAGGCATGAAGCCATCTTGCAGAGTTCTCCAAATGATTTAATGAACATGGTTCTGTTTCATTCATCAAACAATTGGATTTATAATTATTGCTGAAAGCCAAATACTGCAGCCAGGTGTGTGCCTATCACCAGTTTAAGTACTCTGACTGATGCAGTGGTTAACAGCTTCTGGAACATTATTAGCAGTTTGTGGAATGTGAGACAAATTCGTAGAGAACAATATTTTATCTTCTGATTAGAATGTGAAATGGGTGAGTTTGTGATGCTGACCTTTAATATTTTATTGTTTGTTGTTTAATGATATTTATTGTTGTTGTTGTTGTTGTGTCTGACTCTTCGTGACCCCATGAACCATATCATGCCAGGCCTTCCTGTCCTTCACTGCCTCCTGGAGTTTGCTCAGTTTCGTGTTCACTGCTTAGATCTTCCATTCCATTCCATTCCATTCCATTCCATTCCATTCCATTCTAAATGATATTTATAGACTAGACCAATCTGACCATCACTGGGTGATGTACAGGAACAGTTGTTCTGAAGTTTATTTAGTACCAAATATGGTGTGTTATGGATGGGAACTATTGCATTTATAAATCCTTTAATGATACTCTTTAAATTGTCATGATACCAAATCTTGTACTTAAATTTTGTTATATTACACAAAGTTTTTGCTGCTATTATGCTGTTGTTTCATATCCTACTCTGGCTTTATTAGCAGGAGGAACTCAATAATAGTACAAGTCAGTCTTTATTATTATGGTAAAAAGAGTAGAATAAAAATATAATAGCATTAAAGTAAAAGGCTAAATCCATTGCACATCAATGTATTAAAAGAGGAGAAATACTATATGAAATGGAATCAGCATCAAGAATAGATGGGAGAGATGTTGACTCAGATTCTCCTACAAGCAGGTTTTGAGCTACCATGGTAGATAAGGAAGTTAGAAGACTGTTAATTGTTGGCATATCTACAAGCTGTGGCAGTGAACTTCACCACAATTTTACTTATTTTTGATTCCTAGTCAGCTATAAAATGAATGTAGTAGTAGTAGTAGTAGTAGTAGTAGTAGTAGTAGAAGTAATAAGAGCAGCAGCAAAAATTGCAACAAGATTATTCTAGCTCTCAGTATGGAGAAGATGAGATCAAAATACTGTAATTTAATACAGAAAATCTATTTCTTAAAAATCAGTATATCATTAAATGTGTAAGGAATAGAAGGTTCCAACTTTTTCTTAACATATGCTTATGTGTTTTCTTTTTGGGTCTCAATCTGTTTTCCTAGTTATGGGTATAATCATTCTAAATTTCTCTCTCACCCCAGAATATGCATATATTCAGTCCATTAGAGACATCTTTTCCAACACATCTTTGTTTCCAGAGGGGTAGCTCTATTGATTTGTTATAGCAAATTACATCATAGACTTCATGGGCCAAGGTCTATTATGCTGCTTTTGCCATAATACATTTGTTATTCCTTAAGATGCCAAGAAATACTTTGTGTTTTTACAGATATATTTGTTCATTTGCAATGTAACATTGGGTTACTCCTAAAATTCCCTTTAAGACACTCAGCTTTTTTTTGTAGATCAAATAGAATTGTCATGGGAAATTGTTATCTTGCTATGTAGCACATAACCATTTAATTGAGACATTCATCTTGTTGTGGAACTCTTCAGAAAGCAGGGAGGGAGAGAGAAGGAGAAACAGAAAATATGGTAAGGGTTGTAGCAGAACAATTTGTGACTGTAAATTAGTGGGCATATTTATTAGGACAGCAATAGAACATTAACATTTTTGAGCAAGATGCACCAATCACAGATCTTTGTATGGAAACAGAAAACTGAATGTAGCCTTGAGTTATGGAGTAGGCCTTCACGACATCTTCAAGATTCTATTTCACCAATAAGGTAATTTTTAAAAAAATGCTTTTAAGGCACCACAATTATTTGTTTTAATGCACAGATAATTTCCTTAAGCTTCCCCCCACCCCACCCCTTTTACTGAGAATATAGCATGAAGAGTCATTTCTGAATCAGACCAAAGGCCTATCTAGTCTATTTTCCATTTTCAGCAGATGCTCCTGGAAAGCTTAGCAGAAGTTCCTTGAAGCAAATCCTCCCAGATTCTGAGAGACTAGTCAGAGGCAGACTTGTCTCTGAAAATGCATATTCAATTTAACTTTCATAGTTAACAGAAATTGAACAAAAAAAGTGACATCTTTTATACAATAACTTATATACTTCCAGAAGCAACAGGCATTTGGACATCATAACTTTCCCAAAAGATGTTAAATGTTTTGTTTTATTTTTTCTTAAGATGCAGCCCATGGCCAACAAAGGGAATCAGAATATATCAACTGTGACGGAGTTCATCCTCTTAGGATTTGGAGATCTCATTAATCTGAAATTTCTTCTTTTCCCACTGTTTTTAGTGATCTACTTGATGACCATGGCTGGGAATCTTTTTATTGTCCTCTTAGTTGCAATTGATGAACATCTTCATTCACCCATGTATTTCTTCCTAGTAAACCTGTCTTTGCTGGAATCCTGCTATAGTTCTGTCATCCTGCCTAAAACATTATCGAGCCTTCTGACTGGGAGAAAAAATATAGCCATAAAAACTTGCTTCACACAGTTTTACTTATTTGCTTCTCTGGGTGGGGCTGAATGTTATTTTCTATCTGTCATGTCTTATGATAGGTACTTAGCTGTATGCAAACCATTGCATTATTCTATTCTCATGAACAATAGGTTGTGCCTGCAGCTTGCAGTTGTGTCTTGGGCAAGTGGAATATTAGTTAGCACAAGCACAACCTTCTCAATAGCTTCCTTAACCTTCTGTGGACCCAATGTAATTGATCACTACCTCTGTGATTTATCCCCATTCATAAAAGAAATCTCCTGCACAGACACTTACACTGTAGAAATAACTGCATTTGTGTTTGCTTGTGCATTTACCCTTCCTCCTTTACTTCTCACATGGATGTCCTACTTTTTCATTATTTATACAATCATTAGAATCCCATGTACCACAGGAAAACAGAAAGCTTTCTCCACCTGTTCTTCTCACCTCACTGTGGTGGCCCTCTTTTACGGAACCCTGATGCTTGTCTATATGCTTCCACAGTCTAGAAATCTCAAACTTTTGAAGAAAATCTTCTCTCTCTTCTATACTGTACTGACTCCTCTGATCAACCCTCTTATTTACAGCCTCAGAAACAAGGAAGTGAAGGAAGCCATGTGGAAAGGTCTCAAGAAATTTGTCATACACCTGACAAATCCAAGACCCAGTTTTTGTTCACTATCAAAATGAAAGTGCTTGTTGTTTAGCAAATTAATCTTTCGATCATTAACTTTTTTCAGATGTAAATAACATCTGATAGATTGCATGCAGATAGATAGATAGATAGATAGATAGATAGATAGATAGATAGATAGATAGATAGATAGAGTAGGGTAGTATTTAGTGTGACTAGAAAGAAAGGTGTATTTTTTTTCCCACTGAGTTTTGCAATCAGTACATTTTCAGTTGGGATATATTAAGTAGGAATAACTCTTTATTAATTATGGTCACTACAACCCTCCCCAATCTGATCTCATGCAGTTGTGTTGAATTTTAATTGCCTCTATCCCTGGCTAATAGTGTCTTGAGCTGTATATATTGACTTAAAAATTGTAAGCTTCCCTCTCTTACACAAGTTAGCAAACATTATCTTCTACCATCCTCTCTGTCTCTCTTTGGGAGTATACATGTGTATGTTTTGTATGTATGTACCTGTTTATCCATCCATCCATCCATCCTTGTAATCTCTTTTTGTCTTTTAAAAATAAAGCAAGGAAATGAAACAAATTCTGTATTTGTGACAATTCTATTTTTAATGGGAAGTTAGTTGGTGAAGTCAATGCAACCATTTTTAGCATGCTTCTAAACTGCAACAATATTGATTCATACTTCATTCCTCTGTGGACGTTCTTTTAAAGGATAAGAGCCCACACAGAAAAAGAAAAAAAGAAAGAAAGAAAGAAAGAAAGAAAGAAAGAAAGAAAGAGAAAGAAAGAGAAAGAAAGAAAGAAAGAAAGAAAGAAAGAGAAAGAAAGAGACAGAAAGAAAGAAAGAAAGAAAGAAAGAAAGAGAAAGAAAGAGACAGAAAGAAAGAAAGAAAGAAAGAAAGAAAGAGAAAGAAAGAGACAGAAAGAAAGAAAGAAAGAAAGAAAGAAAGAGAAAGAAAGAGACAGAAAGAAAGAAAGAAAGAAAGAAAGAAAGAGAAAGAAAGAGACAGAAAGAAAGAAAGAAAGAAAGAAAGAAAGAGAAAGAAAGAGACAGAAAGAAAGAAAGAAAGAAAGAAAGAAAGAGAAAGAAAGAGACAGAAAGAAAGAAAGAAAGAAAGAAAGAAAGAGAAAGAAAGAGACAGAAAGAAAGAAAGAAAGAAAGAAAGAAAGAGAAAGAAAGAGACAGAAAGAAAGAAAGAAAGAAAGAAAGAAAGAGAAAGAAAGAGACAGAAAGAAAGAAAGAAAGAAAGAAAGAAAGAGAAAGAAAGAGACAGAAAGAAAGAAAGAAAGAAAGAAAGAAAGAGAAAGAAAGAGAAAGAAAGAAAGAAAGAAAGAAAGAAAGAGAAAGAAAGAAAGAAAGAAAGAAAGAGGGAGGGAGGGAGGGAGGGAAGAAGAATTGCATCATTATTAACTCTGACTATAAGACCAGTAGTGCTTCTAGTCGCCTGTTGTTGATCATGTATTCCCATATGATCACAGCTTTTCTCACAAGCAGTACAATTTGCACAACAAATAATAATGCACAAGGATGGTTTGTGTTTTCCATCCATTTTGGTAAATGGGGATTGATTCATTTATCTGATGAGGTCACTTGATGAAGTCACTTGAGACTTATGAAAATTCCAAGTTTAACCAGAGATAGGTTCCATCTTCAGTTCTGAGATATCAGTAGGGGCTGCAGGATAAATTGTGATATTTGTGGATGACTAAGTTAAAAGCAGTTCCATACAGGTTACTGAAAAAGCTATCTCACCCCTGTAGTTGCATTTAAGTAGAATCTCCTTTCCTGGAAATGACTTTGCATGACTGAAGAGAATCTGAAGGCAAAACAACTTTTAATAAGTACTAAGAAGTAAGGGAAATGTTTAGTTAGTGGGTTAATTTGCTTTCACTATACTAAAAGAATTTCCTAAACTCTTAAGGACATTTTCCACAATAGGTAGGGAAAATAGAAAACATCTGAAAGTATATTCTAAAATGCATTACTATGAATTATTTCTTCCTCAAACAGTCTGATTTCTTTGCAAATTTTTGGGAGGTAGGGACAATCTATACTACCCATAATCAAGTTTCCTTGAATTGCATCTAGGTTTTAATCTCAATCTGACCAAGGAAGAAAGAAAGGGAGGAAGGTAGTTGCTTTGATTTGATTTAATATAAAAATAAATGAAATATAAGAAAACTATATTTTATCCAACTCTTGAGTCAAGAAATCATCAAATGGATTACATGAGAACAATAAGAGAA